ACATGAAGGGCACTGCATCCAGCCAAAGGAGGTAAGTTGTTGCTTTCCCGCTCACCCCCTCAAGCAGTACCATGTACTACTCCTAAGAACGGGAATAGATCTTTAGGGCTAGTGTATAGTTTCAAAGGGTAAAAAAATTCTACTCGTTGTGGTAGAAGGTATTTTTATAATCTGAAGAAAGTGCAAAACCTGCCAGTATCTACCACCACAACCCCATGTAAATAACTGCTCTGAATAATATTGAAGCCCTAGTGAGAGCACATCCGTACTGTCTCTCCCCAGTATGGATCTCTGTTCCCTTTCAGAGGTGCACGAGAGGTGAGTTAGCTTTGCTGTGTTTCATCTTGGCTCCTGCAGCTCAGCCAGCCACCAAGATGCTTTCCGTGGGGACAGTCACCCACTGAGGAGCACAAGCAGTATTGTAGCTTCTGTGGGAGGAGAGGGAGCTTCTGGGAAGGGAGCAGAGAGGTCACCCAGCTGAATACTGAGAATCCTTCCTGCTTCAGAGAAGGAACTTTGAATTGCCTGACTCTTTATAAAAGCAAGCCAAACGTGCACACAGTTTCTAACTCTGTCCAGGCTAAAACTATCTGAGAACAGAATCTGGTAAAGACACAAAAAATAAGTGTGAGCTCTGCCTACTGCGTTTATTTGATATCTGGGTGTACCGTAGGGTTATCACTCCAGACACTAAAAACTAAGGGCAGTCAAAACTTGTAGCTGTGGTCTCTTCTGGCACTAGCTATCTTTCATTTTTATGAGGAAGAAGAGCGAGTGTTCTTACTGGGTGTTAACACAATTTGCACACAGAAACGGCTGAGAAGCGAATTATCCAAGTCAGTCAGCATTCAGCCTTGGGTTAACCACACACGAGTGTTTGTGCTGCCTGTGTATTCAGGGATTGTTAAAATGTTAATCCACCTGATGCCAGCTACAGGTTTATTCACCAGCCCCTGTTTACGCAAGCAGATCGCCCTGGGTAGGGAGGTCTACTCACTGCATTAGCTACACAGAGATCTTCCTGAAAGGAGAGGTTTTAACGCGAGTGTGTCCTGTTTTGGAACTGTGGTGATTAGCATAGCTGCAATGATACGGCCGGCTGGCATAGATATGACTTGTACTGTGGCAGCCACCAGCTTACCCCACAGAGTAACCCCACTGGTGACTGGGTGGGCAGATCCTTAGGGCAAGACTGTGTGCTCTGATGAGTTGTGGTTCTCGGGGACACTGCGTCTTGTTCGTTTCTCCTCCTCTTATTAGCAATATCAGTAAAGCCCTTCCTATGCTGTCACCGATGTAATCTGATCTAAAGAATAGGCTGATTTCTGAAAATGCCTTTTTTTTTTTTCCAAAGAGAAACAAATGTGATCTCACTAGGGCTGCGTGCCCATCTTAAGACATGCTTTCATGGGCCCAGCAGACTCTTCCACTCCAAAGAGCTGGAAGAATAGCGTGGTCCTTCATAGAATTGAAGAATGGTTTGGGTGGGAAGGGACCTTTAAAGACCATCCAGTTCCAACCCCCTTGCCATGGGCAGGGACACCTTCCACTAGGCCAGGTTGCTCAAAGCCTCGTCCAGCCTGGCCTGGAACACTTCCAGGTTTGGGGCATCCACAGCTTCTCTGGGCAACAACATGCACTAACAACAGAGACAGGCTTCCACAAATGGGATGAAGAGATTTAATGTAATTTAGGACAAAGTTAAAGTAACAAGAATGGATAAATGACAGCAATTACAGACTCTTAAAGTGAGATCACTAGTCAAATCAGCCATAAGAAACCCAAAAAAAGGGATCATGCAGGATTTTTTTTAATAGGAGAAATGAAATAATTAGAAAAGAAAAACCTCCCAGAAACATGTATGCATTTGAGACATGAAGGTGTGCAAGGCCAAAGACACCCAGCTGCAGTGGCTCTGAAGCAGGGAAAGAATTTCTTCTATCTTTCTTCTTATGTTTCTTCAGAGAAATCTGAACTAGGACTCCCAAGCAATTTCTGTATTACTGGTGATTTTCAGTCTGACAAGTGTCAAAGTACAGGGTATATTTCTGGATTTTTTTGGTGATGAATACAAGACTCTTAAGTTGGGTCAGACAAAGATGACTTTTGGAAGGACCTCCAGAACATCCCAATATGCAAGATATGCAAAAAAGGAAGAGTTAAGGCAATCCAGGGGGGGATTGGGCTATCTAGGGGTTTCAAACAGATGGGTGTATGTAAAGCCTTTTGAGTTCCTCAATTTCTTGTTTTAAGTCAGCAGGAAAAATTATGTTTTCTGTTAACAGTTTCTTCACCCAGGTATCACTCAGAAGACAACCAAAGCTTAAGCTAAAGGTGGCTGCCCTTACAGCATCTTGCCGAGTGAGCCATGTTTCCCACCTTGATTTATGCACAGATTGCAAAGAACTGCCAGAAAGATTTTTTCTAAACAACATACGTAGAAGGATTACAACTCTGACAAATATTTAAATTCAGTTGAACTGTATCTAGTAGTGTCTAATGACAGAGCAGTTTGGGGTTCTTTTTAGTCCTGTTTACTTGTATTTGTGTCATCAGGCATGCTTGACTGGGAGAACAGACTATTTGCATGGGTGTGTATTTATTTACCTTCCTGGTGATATGTGTGCAAACACTATATTTTCCATTGTATTTTTAAATTTTACCTGTGTTCATGCAATTGGAACAAATTTTTAGTCACCATTTTCACGGGGGAATATCCAAGTGGCATGACAGTTGTTACTCGCTGAACCATCTGTGACAGTGAGGAGGAGAAAAAACACATAGCTATGTATAACACAGCCACTTTGGCATCAAGATCTGTATTACACTCTCATGTCCCCTTCTACTTTTTTTAAGTTGAGCAAAAGGAACACAGTAACATTTGAGGGATTTTTGTCCGAGACAGCATATTTAGGCAGGAAGACTGGTGCAACCTTATTGGCAGAGATTTAAAACTGCACTTTAAAACATTATTCCCAATTACTTGGGTGGGCTTGTGTTGTTGAGTTTTGGCTGGTGATTGGTTTAGTGGTGGGGTTGGGTTTGGTGTTTTTTTTGTACAGTGGTAAAAAAATTAGTGGTTTCATTAGTCACTGGCCTTTTATGTGTAAAGAGAGTAGATTTAAACACAACATTTTTTTAAACTTAAATGACTTCTGTTTTAAAATCTTAGTGAAAGGTTTTTTGGAAATAAGGTAACAGTGCACTTCTGAGCAAGCCCAGACTGAATATGCCTCCTTTATGAAAATCGCCACTTACAGGTTTTCTTGATGCGTGTTTCTCTTGCACAGAAGTGAAAGAAACAGCATTACGAAATTCCACCCAACACACAGTGTTGGCTTCTCAGCTCTAAGTCTGGCCGAGCATGGATGCTGATAAGATCCTCATTGCATCACAACAGATCTGGCCTTTGAGTGTTACTTGCTTGAGTGCTGAATCCCAGAGGGTTTTGTCTTAACAGGTGTTTCAGAGGATGACACTTTAAATATTCATTATTTTATTCTACCGTCTAGATGGTCCACAGAGCACGTTCTAGAGCCAAAGCAGCAATGCCCTGCCTGTATTGAGTTTCCCAGGGATCTTGTCTTCCACAGGGTTAAGAGTCTGGAGTCTCTCACAGAGCAATTTATCAGTCAGCTGGCCTTTTAAATAGGCAGCCATCTAAATTCAGAGTTAATACTTGATGTGAGATGCCAAGTTTAGTGGCAACTTGCTGTGAACAGGGAAGGAGAAAGAGCATACAGTTAAACCTCCTTTCAGTTTGAAGACTGCCGTGATACAAATGCTGGAAAGTTGTGATCACACTTCTGCTTTCAGCCAAACTCTATTTCTCTGGCTGAAACAGTAATAGACTTTGACCCCAATACTACAGGCACGCGCAGTTTAAAGGAAGGCTGAGGAGCATCACTCTGCATACGGACAAGGGGAGGAGCTTGCTCCCTGCAGAGCTGTGCTCTGAGTACAGTATCCCCTCCTGCTTCTGCACCAGAGGTTCTGGTGCGTGTGTATAGCTATTGTTGATAGCTGCACAAAGCATGTCTGACAGGATTGGCACTCCAGCCTTTTATAGCCACGGCTCTTTTCTTGCGTTCAGTCTCAGGATCATTTCTGAGGAGATCCTTTTCTATTGAAAGAAATCAGGTGTTTGTATTGTGAGTCATTCTGGATGGAAACAAGGCCATAAACAACATTTCATGATCTTTGCATGTTTTTTCTCCTGTGGATTCCATCTGGAAATTTTCATATTAAAAATTGAATGAAGTTAGTTTTAACTGAAGTTGGGCGAAACAGGCATTTAGATGTTTCCCTGCATTGCTCAGACCTCATATGGCCAAGTGGCAACAAGGGCGAGATTTCCCAAGTTTTCATTTCAAATTCTGTTTGTTCATTTTGGTCCCTTCCTCTGTTCCTTCTTCCAAAAAGGTTATGCTTCAAATGAAAATTTTAAGCTTAGGCAAATGTGTTTAGTTGCAGATCTTAGCAGTGCAGATGCACTGAATTGCGGGAAACGCAGAGTTTGGGAGGAATTTAACCGTAGCTTGTTTGCCCCAAAAGAGGAAGTGCACCAAAGCATGTAGATAGGTCAGGAAGTACAGATTCTGCAAATAGGCAAAGGATCCTGCACACCCCCCTCAAATTGCTTTCACCTTGTCAGCACGGACCTGGGTTGCTCAGGTTGCTGAGCAAATCTGTTGCTCATGCAACATTTGCATGAAAATTAAGAATTTGCAAGGTTTCTAAGATTGAGTGAACTGTCAGCTGTTTGTACACAACTTCGTAGTTAACAAATGATAAAGGTTTTCTGAGCATGTTGAAAGGAGGCTGCTGAAAGAGTGCTCTTCTGCGTAACCTGTGTGTGCCTGTGAGAAGGATGGTAACTCAGAATTGTTTGCAGTGTTAGCTGCAGTCTTTCCTCTTCCTCTAACTTGGCTCCATAATGCAGCAGAAGCTGTCAGTCAAGAGCTGGGCGAATGATGCTTTAACCCCTTGTGTCTTCCCAGGTGGTATCATGATAATCTTACCCGACATGCAGCAGAAGCGCTGCTGCTTTCCAATGGGCAGGATGGAAGCTATCTCTTGAGGAAGAGTAATGAAAGGGAAGATTTGTACTCCCTCTCTGTAAGGTAGAGTATGGACAGAAGTGAATTTGTCTAATGCCGTACAACTAGCAGCATTAAAATCTTCACTTCCTCCCGTGCTTGTTTGCATGCCTCACGCATTGAGATGACCTGCAGATTTTTAACTAGGGCTTGACCTATTTTGATATATATTCCTAATGGTGTAAGTCTGCTGAATGACATTTTGTTAGAAGAATAAAAAAATTTGGATTGGAATTGAGAATTTCTCTCATTTTACGAAACTGTGAATGAATCTTACTGGCAAAACGCGTAATTCCATGGATTTGCTATAGATTTTCAGTCTGCAGGATAAAAGTCTGTATGGCAGTTACAAGAGTTTAAGAAACATCTGATGGGAATAGGAAAGTTTTAAGGTGAGGGTAGTAGTAAACGTACGAGTTAATAGGTGCTAACTTCATCAGTTTCTGGACCACTGTATAGGAATGGTCACCTCTGAGGGATTATCCAGGGTTTTGACTGGATGGATTTACTCTTCCCTTCTGTGCTAAGACTCAGTCTCAGACAGTAAAGCATGACTGATTTAAACAATATTTTGCAAGTGGCAGACGTCAGGCCTGTGAAGTCAATTACAGCAATTTACATCAGTTCATGACACAGCCAGTATGGAGCACAGGTAGCCTGGCCTGGGTACTTCACTACTGAATCACATTTAAAGAATCTGCCAAGAAGGAGAGAAGCCACAGTATTTCCGAGAGACAACGTGAAAGACGTACGCATTAGACACACAAGGTAGTCCCTGCATGTCAGCTGAGTGGATGTAACCAACCCTAAATATGCTCTTAGCCTCTGGCAACTGTATGATATATCAAGCCTCCCTGGTGAGATTTTAAGCTAGTGCGCTTCAGCTCGTTTCTGCCTCAAACCGAGCCTCTGAACAAGTAGCGACCCCAGCTCAGCTGAATCGCAGTAACTTTTTAAGCTAAAGTCACTTTGATCAGTATAATGATGCTAGTTATTCACAACCCTAATAGATAGGAACACAGCATATGCCCTTGAAATTGTGACTTTCTGCGTATTCAGTACCAGGAGCTGTTACAATTTGGAAGTGTAGTCACTTGGAAACTGAGGAAAGTGCAATTTGCACATACCCAGTTCCCACAGTGGTACAGACAGAAGTCCCAGGAGTAAGTGTGCCTGTAAATACACTGCTGAAGTTACTGCCACTATAGACAGCCATTTATACAAGGAGTATGGGGGGGTGTCTAACAGATCTGAAGGTGATGTTACAAAGTGAGTATTCAGAGTAACAATGGCTGAATTGAATGCAAGCCTGGGGAAAAAGAATAATAGCGTTTATGAGTAATACCTTTCCTTTAAAAAAAAGGAAAATTTTAAAAAAGGTAATTCTAAATTAATCATTGCCTTGCTGGTTAATATTTTTTGACTTTAAAATGTGACTAAACATTATTTGAGGTAATCTATCTCAGGCAAGAAAAGAGTATATATCTAGAAGCTCGTTCTCAAGGGCACTCAGGAAACAACTTACTGTAATAAAATAATACAATAAAATGTTACTTTAATAGGAAACAAAAGTTGAAGTGTTAATTAGTGAAAATAAATTTGCTGCTTGAACAAATTCTAGCCTTAGAAGACCTAGAAAAGTCTACTTCAGGCCAATTCTAATCTCTTGTTCAGCTCTCCACATAGGAACAAGAGTTAGTTACTGCATTACCCTGTCTGGAGTTTGGTCTTTTATTCTGTTACATTAGGGTTTTTTGGTGGCACAGCTCTCTTGAAATACTGGCTTTGATTTTAAATTGCTTAAATAAGTTTTTACTGTTTGTTTAACCCTAATTTTTCCTTGCCCTTTTTTTTTTTGAGTAATATTAAAACTTAATTTTAGACTAAATAATTTTTTTAGATACATTTTGTACAAAGGGTAACTTGATAAAGTGACAGCTAGAATTGCTTTCTCTCCTGAAATGGCGTCTGTAGATTTTACTTTACTCTGCCTCAGAAGGAACGTCAGTCATTATTATAGCTCGTTTTAAAAGGAAACAATGCTTAGACATCCCTTGAGGTTTTTATTGACAGCTGTCAGAAGAGAGATCACACATTGCCTGAAATCCCCTCCCCCAGCTAAATTAGCCAAGTTTAAAAAGGAACTAGGAAACAGAGTAGGAGTCACTCTCATTGCAACAGTGTATTTCTTGTGAAATTCAATGAAAAGATGAAACCCCCATCATTGCAGGGGAGCCACAGCAGCTGTTTGCTGTCGTGGGGCATCTGCACTTGGCTTGCAGGCATTGTCTCAGCAGATGGGAGCACAAAACGTGCAGGAGGTCAACAGAGGAGGCATGTTCTACAGTATCACGGGTACTGTTCAAAGTTAAGTATTTGTTTAAATACCCGTTTGAAGTTATAATCGCCTGTGGAAGTGTCAGTAAACAACAGAAAAGACACTAGAAATCCCTTTCTTCACAACATTTTCAATATATTTGCTACTTACATTTTTCCTGAGGTAAAGCTCTCTGGACTATTTTGGGTGCCAGTAACGTTAACAGAAGTACCTTTATTACAGGAGAGGTACTTGCAATAAGTGCTTCACTGTCTTCTGAAGTCAAAATAATTGCCTGTCCAGGAAGTGATGCCTTGCGCTTCTCTAAATACAGTCAGCTTTCATAAACAAATGCTGTTACTTCCCTGACAAAGGACCCTGGTCCACACTTGACAGTGCCCACCATAGAGGAACCATTCATCTGAGAACAGAGACAAAATAGACGAATTTTAAAGCCTTTGGTGTCTGAAGTTAGGTTGTTATATCCCCGTTTGGATGCTAAAAGGAGGCAGCCTATTTTTGACAGAGAAACAGAAGACATTTTCGATGAGATTGGGATGTTACCTATAAAGTAGGACATACACCAAGTAACAGAGCTACACCATCCAGACTAAAGCCCGGTAAGTGAAGGGGTATCATCCTGCTTAGAGGCTGGAAACCTCATTTGTGGGTCTTCTTTCGCTGATTGCCGCAAGAGTTAAATTAACTCACTTGGCCTTTCTAGGCTTTCATCATCTCATATCTTTAAAGTAGCAATTAGATTTTTCTTAATAAATCTGAGACTCAGATGTGTAGCATTACTGCTAGGGCGGTGATTGTTAGCTTGTGATCTGGGCCAGATTTCCTGTAGCAGAAGCTGGCTATTTAAGGGTTGTACATGCCAAATACCTTTGGCATTTGTGGCTTGACAAATTTTCCTTTTCTATCTTAGGGGAAAAGATTCTGTGAAACACTTCCATGTTGAACATACAGGAACTTCGTTCAAATTTGGATTCAATGAATTTTCTAGCTTGAAGGAATTAGTTATGCATTTTGCAAATCAGCCTTTAATTGGAAGCGAAACAGGTAAGGAGAGCCATATGTTTGTATGAACACATTTGTAGTCATGCGCTTCACACAGATCTAAGTAAAAGGAGCTTGTGATGTCTTATCAAATAGATCTACTGCTGAGGTGTTCCTCTTCAGAAATTCACATTTGTATTAACCTCAGGTATCTTAAGATGTTCCTCTTCAAGAACTCTTTCAAGTACTCTGAAGACAAACTATGTGCAAGCTTACTGGGATTTTGCTAACCAGGCACATGAGCTCCTTTTGATTTCTCAGAGGAAGAAGGAAGCAAAATACTCATGTACTGGGAGGAACAGAACCGTCTCAAAAAGGGCAAAACCAAAGCAGGGTGTTTAGTGAGGAAATAAATGTTCATCTGTGAAGTTGAAATCCCCCAATAAGTATAAATGGAAAAGGGATTTGAAATTGTTTAGCCCCACTATTCTTCATCCAAGGAAGAAGTCTACAGTGATATGTTCCTCTTTTCTGTAGGGAACATGGCCTTTATTACCTCTGCCTTTCTGCCTACAGTGGATCAGCCTGATGATGCCATCTGCTATCACAGTGATTTGCCCTGTTTTTAAGAAAAAGACAGAGAAAAGTACAGGCTTCTTTAGCAGCCAACATGTTGGTTCAATTAAGAGTCTAAACTCAATTCCTACAAGAGAGTTGAACACCAACAGACCAGAATCCCTGGAGAAACAGATGCATATTGTCATAACACCAGTTTTAGGTTTCGCTTCAGATGTAAGAGTTGAAGACGTCGGCACAAGTTAGTGCCAAAAACTTCAGTATCCTGTGTATGCAAATAACCCAGAGTAGTACTAATTGTATATGCTAGAGACCAGTTAAATGGCAGTTGGCATGTACAATAACTGTAATATGTCACACAGTAAATATGCAAAGTGCTTTTTTAACTCAAGCATTAAATTCAAGTGTTGCTCTGCAAATTTTTTCCCCAAGAGAAGTGCAGTGATACACTCAATATAGCACTTGAATCTTTGAAAACATTCTCTTTTAAAATTGCTTTTAAAAGTGGTTCAAACACAAGAGTTCCTACATGTATCTTCTGTGCCAAGAAAGCTATATTTCTTGTGAAATCAGACATGTATTCAGAGGCCCAACACTGTGAAGATCTCAGATACCACACAGAACTTGTATTTCCCCATTCCATCACTGCATGTGCTACAGCCATCAGTAATCAAGGCACTGGTGTAATGTGATCTCTGTGGACAGGATCAGTACTGCTGAATAATGGGATCACTTGTCGTGTTAAGCTCCCTAGTCGGATTCTGCTGGCTGTGTGAAACCTCTTTAAGTTAGATATGCTACAGAATAAGAAAAGCTATTTGAACATTGCATCAAGAAACCTTCCACCTTACCTTACAGTAAAGGTAGCAGTAGAGAGGAAGAGAGAGTTTAGCACCAAGGCAATAGATACAGCTGTCAAAGGTTTCCTGGGTGGTAACCAATTTATACTAAAAAGGGGGTGGGGGCTCATCAGAGGCCACTCTAAGCCAAATGTCAGCGTGGCAGAATGACTGGCCCAACATAGGGTCACGCATCAGGTTGGCAGAAGGGTGAACAACAGAGTCTGATTTCTTAGGCCACATTTCCTTTCAGTGAAAAGCAGCAAGCGACCTGTAGCTCAGGCATTAGTAGAAAATTGTTGGACCAGTTTTTCTTTTACCTTGTTATACTTAAATTTTTCTGTAGAAACACTATGAGATCAGGATTGAAAAAGCAAAGCAAGATCGGATTTTTCAGCTCCTTGATTATGGACGGGATTTTATAAGACAGAGACCCACAAAGCTAGTTTTGTATCTGAAGAGGTACACTGGACTCTTTCATCAGTACTTCAACACACCGGCCTGTACCCCTGAAAACTACTCTGTGGAGCACAATGGTTCTTTTTGCACTAGGATAGCTGCTGTTTTGTGCTTCAAGCCCAACAAACCTTGTCCTACTGCTTTGTTTGCCACTAGCTGTCTTACAGCTTAGTTTGCCACTCCTAATTGCTACATGGACTCACATCTATTTTTCTGCAGTGTAATGTGTACGCTTCCTTCTGAACTACAGGTAATTAAAAGGGAATTGGAGCTACTATGTTCTGTGAGATCGTTTACTGACCGGGCAAGCTGAATCTATTGCATAACAAGGTTAAATCAATATACTATCATACTGCTGTATTTTTATCTTTATTCAAAGTGACAAGGTCAACATGTTATTTTTACCTGTTTGATTTGTTTATCAGTTTTTACCTGAATTAATTTGAAAACAACCATTTTTAAGTCATCACCCAGACAAAAAATCCAAAGTCAGTTGAAGCTAACATTTCCAACAATGGGACCAATTTTCATTCTTTCTTAGAAATAGATATTGTGCACAAACATGCATGAAGAGTCTTACTACAGTGCAGCTTTGACTAGTTCTTTTGTACAGTTAACAAATGATTCTGTACAAGTGTGTTTTATGGAGAAAAAACAGGGAGAACTTACTAGAAAACAAATATTGTATAAAATGTTAAACTCGTCCTCCCAGTTCTGCAACGGGGCTCTTTGTCCATGGTGTACAGATGATTGTATTCTGATTCAGCACAACAGCTTCAGAGTAGTTTCTGCAGAGTGGTGGTGGGCATGTTCGCAATTTCATTTTAAATCACAGAACTGTAGAATGGTTTGGGTTGGAAGGGATCTTAAAGATCATCTCGTTCCAACCCCCTGCCATGGGAAGGGACACCTTCCACTAGACCAGGTTGCTCAAAGCCTCATCCAGCCTGGCCTTGAACACTTCCAGGGATGGGGCATCCACAGCTTCTCTGGGCAACCTGTTCCAGTGCCTTAACACCCTCTCTGTGAAGAATTTCTTCCTGATATCTAATCTAAACCTCCCTGCTTTCAATTTAAACCCATTACCCCCTGTCCTGTCACTACAGGCCCTTGTAAAAAGTCTCCCCCAGCTTCCTTGTAGCCCCCTCAGGTAGTGGAAGGCTGCAATAAGGTCTCCCTGGAACCTTCTCTTCTCTGATAAAGCTGTCTTTTTTTTTTTTTTTTTTCTGCTGAGCCAGAGAGAACTAAACTGATTTTGACTTTTCACCTACCACAAGTTGAATACATCACATTTGCATACACCCCCTGTGCCTGCAAACAGATTTCAGTTGGTTACTTCACATACAATTTTTCCACTTCCCTTTGTAGCCCTTCCTATTACAAAATATACTTTAAACTTTATTTCACTTTTAAATTACTCAGTCGCTTGGGTTTCATGTCCAAGTTCTTATCCGTTCTAGCATCTCTCCTTCTTCAAGAGCTGACAACATCAGCATAAAATGAAAATGGACCTGCACTTGGCACGCTGTGACATTAAAGAATGAGAATAGATGGTATAGCGGTTACTATTTTAAGGAGGCTTTTCATTATTGTGAATAATGCAATAGATTCACTATTGAGAATGCAGCTTTTTGCAGAGAACGTGCAATAAACGTGACCTTATTTGGAGAACAGAGGATGACTATAATCAGAATGTTACTAACTGGAAAGAGCTGTGGTAAAAGTTAAAGGCAATGGTAATGTGGTCTTACTGTTAGGAAGTCTGTATCCGAAGGTCTGACAGATTAAGTGATTTACACAGCAAGCAGTGGGTTGTTGGCAAAACCAGGGTGACTGTTACGACCTTGTATCTAGCTGAACATCCTGCCAGCCTCCTGCGCAGGAAGGATATTTAATGTGCCAAGTGATCCCCTGCGAGCACTGGTGTGTGGAAAGGTTTAAAAAGGTACCGTGTATTTACAGTTTTCACAGTGGCATGTAAACAGGCGTGATAATGTCTGTAGTGACATCTTCATGAACGCAGTGAAGGCGTAGGTCACAGCATTTCAGCTGTAACTGGGAACTCTGCATTTTAGTTTGTTTTGTATTACCTAGTTACTCCCCGACTGGGAAGAAGGTTCAAGCAGGGCAGGAGACACCTGCCCTTGAGAGTTTTCTGATGGTCCCGTTTTGTTGCTGTCTTGATTTTTCACCCCTGACCATTCATTGCAGAAGGGATTTAATTGCCTGCTGCTTAGAAGAAGTGAAGAGGGTTGACTCCCACTGTACAGGGATGAGGGAATGGGTTTAGGTAAGGTCCGGTTGCCCAAGGTATTGAGGACTCTGAGCCACATGACAGAGCCAAGGAAGCACCCCTCTATAGTTTGCATGGGTGGATTTCTGTAGAAAATGCCCTTCACAAAGTCTAAACTATGCAGATGATGCACATTAGGAGTATTTGTCTAGTTTTATTAGTACAGGAGAGCCGTAACATCAGATTGTTTTCTCACGTGGTTGTGGCTTGATTCTTGCCCTCTTCCAAGGAAACCCCCTTATAGGGAGTGTCACAGGCATCTTGGGGAGGTTACTAGCTCTTATGCCTTTTTAATTTTAGGAGAAGGTAAAGTTAACTATTCGATCCACAGGAATGTCTAATCCACAGACAGCTTCTGCTCGTTATTTTCTAAGACTGTCTTGCCAGCTGACTTACTCCTGCTCTTTCTCTCTCCAGGAACCTTAATTATATTGAAACATCCCTACCCACGAAAAGTGGAAGAGCCTTCCATTTATGAGTCTGTCCGAGTTCACACGGCAATGCAGACAGGACGGACAGAAAGCGATCTTGTTCCAAATGCTCCCTCGGTAAGTTGTGTTCTGGTGGAAAGGGTGCTTCTCCTGGCCCGAGTTTAGTGTGATTGCTGGGGTGAGCTATGGAATAACACCAGTAATTCATCCCTTTGTGGGGTCACAAATACAGTAAGTCTTTCCTGACTAAGGCAATACAAATGCAGGCTTGGAAGGTACAGACCCATGACAAATAAAGCCTTTTACAACTGAGACCTTCAGTGCTGTCACTGGGAAAACATTGTCTGCAGCTGACCTAGGTGAGCCTGATCATCCAAACAAAGTGTATATGAAAGGTTATCATTGTCCTTCCTTTTAGAATGCCATCTTAGTACCAACATTATCAGGAATTAAAAACAAAACAAAAAACCCCACACCACACAAAACAAACACAACACTTGTCACATCTTTCTGACAACACTGATCAGGCTGTGTGCAACAAAACTATGTCAGGTTGCACAGTAAGCCTTTGTTTGGCCAGACATCCTTTACAGCCAGCGGGACATTTCTCTCTGTCTCTCCCCCCCGCCCCCCAGCAGGTGAGGAGAGCAATACAGAAAATAGCAAAACTGAGTAACAGCTACAGGATTTACTACATTTTGTCTCAGTGAATATGAGGATTAGATGATGGGAAACAGATAATACCCCGACAAACTCATTACTACTTATTATTTTTGCAATCCTCTTTCTTCGTTAGATTTATTTTGCCCAGTTAGCAATATACAGCCTTTTTCCTAACTGGGAGGAAGGAAAGAGCACCTCTGACTTTCTCAGTTGGTTCAAAAGTGATCTTCTGAAAAAAATATTCAAAGACAAGCAAGACAGGCGGAGACACATTTGGAAAAGGAAACGCCACACCGAAGCGCGAAACAACCGAGTTAATAAGAGTAGCTGTATCCTGATAGCTACATTACTCCAAAGGGGGTTTTTTTGGCATTTTCACACTTGGATTTTACTATTTTAGAACCACCTTGTCTTAAAGCAGGAAGTATTGGTGTATTGTGACACAGACTTAAACCCAAAATAGAGTGATACAACAGAAGAGCCTCCACCCTTTCAGCCCTAGTAATTTAGAGCACAGTAAAAAGCTGTCATGCTAAAAGCTATGCCCTGCTGGTGTGAGAAACAAGAGAACATCTTCATGTCCATTTGTGCCACCTGCTCTGACATCTGTGACTCACTTGGACAGTAATTAGAGACTTTAAGTCCCTAGGATCTCCTATCTAAGTGAGACAGGTGGTTTCTCCAGAACAGTATTGCTCAGAACAGAAAGTATTTTAATTACATACTATATTTTTTGAGGAGGGAAAGAAAGAAAGAAAGAGTTGCATTAATACAGGTTAATGGAGGTGATAAAAAGAACCACTTCTGAGGCGTCTCACAACTGACCCTTCATGGCTGAGTTCCACTTTAACATCCAAAGAAACTTGACTTCCACTGCAACCAACAAAAAGGCAATATTTTTTCAAGAACAAGTAGTAGCTTGGCAAGAATTTGGTTTTCGGGGGTCTGCACTCTCACAGCTGGGTTCCTACAGGGTTTCAGTATCTGAGAAGCCGTAACGTCCCAGTGCCACTCATGGTGGCAGAGAAACTGTTCTAAACCCCAATTTTTCAGCAAGCACACTGAATGTAACTGGTTTTTCCTCTCAAGCACGTGGCTGTTAAAGAGAAGAGAATGCCTTCTTATGTAGAACAGCGCGTTGCTCCCGCAGTTGCATTTCAAGAGTGATTTCTGTGGATAGTGGCACTGTTGGTAAAACCCCAGGTGCTTCTGGTTACAAGTACTGAGGCAACCATTTAACTTTACTAAAGAAGCTGTAACTGCAACTGTCTTGCTGTGTTTGGGTGAGAAGGGGCAGGCCAGAAGGTTGCTGCGTGAGGCATGGTCTCAGAGACTGCCTTTCCCAGGGATGTGGGAAGCAGAAGCAGAGCTCGGTCTCTAACCCCAATCCCTTTCCTTGTTACTTCACAGCTGGGTACGAAAGAAGGATATTTGATAAAACAAGGCAAAATAGTCAAGGTAAGGAAAACTTACTCCTTGCTTCCGCTCTGCAATCACCCGCAGAATCTAGAGACAATAGCTCCACCTGCATTCCCCGGCAGGGAGGAACAGTCTGTTTTGAGCACCAGCAAAGCATGACTGTAAACCAGAGCAAGCCAACAGCTTTAAAGGCTTTTCTTTCCTAAGGAGCATTTAGCTAAATTCTCACAGGACAATTACCATCCATTCTTGATCTTTCAGAACTGGAAGACAAGGTGGTTTACACTGCATAGGAATGAACTTAAGTATTTCAAAGACCAGACAGTAAGTAGCAAATACCAGTTCTACTCTTTAGACCTCTACAAGGGCAGCCGCAGCCTCCTCCTGTCTCTGGCTTCTTGCGTCTGTACCACAGCTTCCCCAGCTACAGCTCCTCATCCTGTCAGAGCGGTCGGACCTTCCAAATAGAGTCCGTTTTGCTGATGGCTTCACCAAGAGAAAGTCAGTAAGTTGTACAGCTGGAAAGCATTTACTGTGCTCTGTCAGCTTTACCTACTAGAGTTGCTTCCACTGAATAGCGCAACAAAAAAATCACACTGGATTTTGAACTACCAGCACAACACAGCTCTTATTAGTAGACAGACAACAGACAGCAGTGGTATTTGTGGATGTATTTGCAGTATTTCTGCAAACATTAGTAGTGTATTTTGCATTCCTTGCTTTCACCCTTTTATTTCAAGTGGCCGCACAGCATACATAGAAAACCATTCATTTAAAAGCGTCTTCCTTCCTAGCATCTCTGCCACAGATTAAGCTGGGGAAAAACTGCGTCCTTGCAGTTGCTGTTCCATTTCTGTCTTAAACTGAGTAAAAATAAGAAATAGCTCTCAGAGTTTCCCTTGCAATACCTCCAGTTCCTTCATAAACACAGCCAAACCATTTCTGCACCTCTGCCAAGCCCTGTTCCAAGGGTCTGACACAACTGCACTCTCTCCCCAAACGTTATAAACAGTTTTGTATTTACAGGGCCTTCCATCAGTTTTCATTTCAGTTCAAGCTGGCTTGAATTAAGTTTCCAGGATAACATTTCAAACGGCAGCATTCCAGATATTTCAGACTTACCGGGCAAGAAGGGGTCTTTTTCAGGAACACGGCCTCTTTCCGGGCAGCAGAGCTGGTAGTTCCTGTTGCTGTGGGGATGCACGTACCTACAGGCAAGCAACTTGCTGCTGGCCCTGGGATGGCATTTGTTAGCACAGCTCAGCACAAGTGGCTTTCTCCTAACACCGTGTGTCACTAACGACCACTGAGCCAGAGGAAAACGTGAGGAGAGGTGAGAAGAAAACACCAGGGACCTCTAAACACCTGATGAAGGACGGTGGGCACAGCCTGGAGCGTTTGGGCAGAGAACAAGCTGTTCTGCTTCAGCTGCCTCTTCTAAGGTGCTCAATGGCGTGAGGCTGAAACAAATCAAAGGAGGACTCTCACACTTAGGGAGGATGAAACTGTTAAGGGAGATGGGTTGTGGTTATACATAGTCTACATCCCTGCACCTTACCACTCTTGGGCCTATCCCAGGAGACTTAGATATACACACACTCCTCATACAGTCATACTCATCACTCCTGCTGCAACAAATGCTGCTTTCACTCCTGTTGCATTTCTTCCTGCCCAGCTTGATCCTTTTACGGTGCTTAGGAACTAATGAAATCTCCATCAGCTGGCTAAGTCTGATAAGACTTCCAACCATCCCCTTATCTCTGTAAACCTTAGCTGCAAACGATACCAGATTTGCTGCTGTGTCAGTTACACTGTCGTGCATCAGCCAAACCCTCAGCAGTCTGCATCTAGCTCTAACTTCCCCGCAGTAGAAATCTCCTGTCGAGCTTTGATCTGACCGTCTGGGTTTTTTACATTTAGCACGGATGTTACCTTTGCTAGTTTGGGTTTACAGTGTTACAGCTATTTTATGATGCCTGGAAAAACTTAGTGTGCCTGTAAAGGTCTAGATGCATTGAAGATGAACCAAGCTAGCCTCATCTTCTGCTTTCATGTGTTCCCATTTTAAAACTGTTTTATTTTCAAGGCCACAGAACCGATTCGGGCGCTTGACTTAACTGAATGCTCAGCTGTGCAGTTTGACTATTCCCAGGAGAGAGTCAATTGTTTTTGGTAAGTTGCTGTGGTTTCTCCACCTTGCTGGGAAGGGCAGAATAGCCAGGGAAATTTGAAATATAACCACTGGGTGCTTCTGAAAGCTCCCTTTGCTGGTTGCGACCCTATTCTTCCTCTAACTCATGAGTCTTTCTGTCAACAAACCTGTCGGTCCTGCATGGGTTTGCCAAATTACTGCTGGCAAAAGGGCTTTTTCTTGGTGAGGGGGCAGGGAGTAGGCCTATGTGTAGCGGGCGTTTCTTTTCCTAAATCTGTAGGCGTGTATAATTGTCGCCTAGGCCCATGGAACTTGGGTACGCTCCAGCTCTGAGTTCAGATACTGCTACAGGTCTCATGGTAACCGCCTCTGCGCCCAAACGCGGGTCTGGTCTCCATATGGGCCTGGGGCATCGTCTCCCAGAGCTGTAAACAACACCAAACCATTTTTGGCATGTAAGCAGCCACGGCTCCTGGTGAGTGAGCAGGAACGCAGCCTCCCTGTCCTGTTCTGCCTTAACTGTGGGGGCAGGCCAGCTGGGTTCAGTTTTGGGAAGAACTAGCAGTTGTTCTAGCAATGTAAGGAACAGTTTTAATTGTTTACTTGCAGCTTAGTGTTCCCGCTAAGGACATACTACCTGTGTGCGAAAACCGGCATCGAGGCTGACGAGTGGATTAAAATACTGCGATGGAAACTGGTAAGCGTTTGCAGAACGCCCTTTTAACACACATACTCATTATGGAGAAGAAACGACTTCAGTCTTTCAGGATGTCATTGTGTAGATGCTATACGGAGCATCAGCACAGACTGCACATGGGTCATGAAGGAAGCAATGAGAAGACAGTGTAAAGGCTTGAAACTGTCATTTCCTTTAAAACCATCGGCATTTGGGTTGGTGGTACTCACTCGCATGCACATGCATGCAGGCAAACAGTAACAGTTGGTTTTTCTGTTCCAGTCACAAATACGGAGGCAACTGGAGCAGCGTAACGCTACCCTCAGTTCCTAACTGCACCTCCAGTACTTCTGCTCCGTTGGCAGGAACGGCCTCTTTGCCAAGAGGACGGTTTCCCGTGCCTCCGTGACTCACGGCGGGCACGTGTGTGCGTGCATACCCTCACACAGACACTTGCTTCCAGCTCCGCACACGAAGGATTGGTACGGCCGAGCGCTCAGCTCTTGGGCTGCCGAGTCGCCTGCGGAGACAGCTGCGAAATCAGCGTGTGGCTGGATACGCGCGGCGTACGCCTGTAGTGCACACGGCTCGCACGCCTGTTGGCTAATCGCAGTAGTCGCTGCGTACAACTTTTGTGGTTGTCGGGGGCACCCTCGTGATGGCAGGCTCCCTCACAACTAACCATTAGCAGCATAATCTGTAACCTTGAGCCTGTTACTTAAAGCCAGTCCTTTCTGGAGACATTAAATCCTTCGTTTAGGCTCTAAATCAAAAGAAAAGTCCATCCCTGGCCGTCTTCAAGGCCAGGCTGGATGAGGCTTTGAGCAACCTGGTCTAGTGGAAGGTGTCCCTGCCCATGGCAGGGGGGTTGGAACTGGGTGGTCTTTAAGGTCCCTTCCAACCCAAACCAGTCTGTGATTCTAGGATTCTAAAGATGTCAGAAGTAATCACATTTTTTCAAATAGTATCTACATTAAAATCCAGAGAAGATTTCAAGGCTCTTGTCAAGGGGATGGGTGAGTAACGCTTAGTTCTGGGCAAATATGGGTCCGTATGGTTCACACTCATACTGCAGCGATGGCTACAGGGGGTTGTTTCAGACGGCGTATGTAGGGAACGGCGAGCAGCGTCACGCAAGCACACTTGTTTACAAACGAGGGTTATGAGGAACAGGCAGCTGCTTCCCGACACACGTACGGCAGAACTGCCAGGGGACCCTGAGGATGGGTGACGGTGCTCTGCAGAAGCCTGTGCCTGTGGCAGCCACCAGCATTGTTACGTGTTGGGTCCTTTACAGTCCCTCTTGAAAATGAGCTGGATTTTGTACTTTTTCTCCTCACTCAGAGAACTCAAAACAAGGTTTTGTCCAGAACTACAGTGTAGAATTAAGCACTGCTTGCATTATATTAAACAAGATCAGTGTCAGGAAAGCGCCACGTACACTAAAAATAGGAATTTAAAAGAATACATCTTCAACGTAACCGGATGTAAACTTCCGTCTGTATTTTGGAGGACACATACGGATGTAACGGCATGGTGGCTCGCTACAGCACTGAGAAGTGAAAGCCCAGTACCTCGGTGCTGTAGTCAAAATGTTGTTATTTTGGAAGTAAAGTTTGACACGCCGGAGGTTCCCCCAAGACTACCTTGGCCTGAGACCCCCTGAGCAACCCTACTCCTCCTGGAGGGGTGGGGAAAGACAGGGGGGCCCTGTCTCCCTGCATAACGTTCAAATTTCTGCTGAAAAGCATAGGCCAACCTCTCCCACTACGCCAAGCACCGTGGCATAGGGCTTAGCGTCGCTCACACACCACACCAGGTCAGCGTTCAACAGACGCCCGTACCGTGAAAAGGCCGAAGAGGAAGGGAAAAACATAATGGAAGAAGAAAGAAAATCTGGATTTGGACATAGGAATAGCATTTTATTTCAACTTAGAAATTCAAAATATTTGTAAATATTTTTATACAGACTGTTTTCTGAATAAAAATGTCATTATAAAACTAACAAAGATCTTCTGTGTTCCTGTACTGTATTGTTAAAGTTTTGCCTTCCTTTTTCTCCTTAAAAGAAGTGGTTTAACAAACTCACATCTCCCATTTAGTTAAAAAGCCCTAACGAGCTTGTGCGAGATGGGCAGCACACAGGGAAGGGAGAGCTGAGACTCTCCACCACCATCACTGTGCTGTGAAAACACCCTGGGAACAAAGTCTGAAGTGCAGCCACTGAAGCAGCCTTCCCTTTTTCACATGAGCTGGCAACATTTCAAAACATGGAAAGCAAGTTCAGCACACGCTGCCACGAACCAAAGTCAGTAAGAGCAACAGCGCTTGGATGGCCTGGGAAGTGGAGTCACAGGCAGATGAGCAGAAGCCATGGGCAAGAGGAGGCCCTAGAGGAACATAAACTTCCTGGAAACGCACACCCCAGGGCTCAGTTTCCAGTTGCTTCTGTAATGACCAGGAAAAGAAAGCTCAAGCTCAGTGTAAACAGGAAAGGCTCAGCTGACAACTTTAAATCTCTGCAAGCACTTGCGAGCCAAGAATTCCCAGCACACTTCCAGCACCAGCATCTCCCCACACCCTGCCTGACGCAGAAGGTGGGCAAGGTATAAATGAGGGGGAGGTAGCACCCCCCTGTCCTGGCCGGAGGCAGAGACCTGCCAAGAGCTCTCCCTCAGACCAGTGGCTCTTGGTTTCAGAGCTGGAGTCTACACGGAAAGGAGTGTGTGAGGAAACAAGGCGGGATTTTGCACACTATAAACAGCGTTCTCCCCACAGAAGAGCTGATGTGCTGTAGAGCATCGTGGTGCAACAGAAGAGCAGACCAGGCTCAGTCGTTTAAAAATACTGTATTTTATTTATATTTATTTACTTAGGAAAACCTAAGGGTAAATGAGCCGAGTGTCACCAGTGATGAACCCGAAGACTATGAGACATGAGATCTTCACAACTGTATCAGACAAAAAAACCCCATGAAGTGAGACATTATTCGGGTGCTTTTATCTGGGCATCAGGAAAACCCCTAAACCAGCAGCTTTCTTAGAAACAGCTTTCTTCTTAATGCAAGCAGAGCAGGGGTGGCATCCAGATTACCAGCATTCCCGTGCCAAAGTACCACCCATGTAAGAAGGCTGGGATATTTACTGATTGTACCGACACACCACCACTAGTAAACTTCCTCTCACAATACTCCTTCAACCACATCTTTGACAACATTGCACAACCGATCTGCTTTTGTGGTAGCCGGCCTGAGGATAAACCCCACCGCGTCCCTAGTTCCCTGTAAAGCAAGAGATCTGCGGGATGCTGATCTGAGCCAACAGCATCACGCCAATCTGGCTCAGCTGGCTGAGCTAAACTCCATGGGAGCTATGTTGGTGGTCTCTCCAGTACTGCACAATACAAGAAGCATGGCCTAAAGTAACATCCACCTACAACACACTAGTAGATCATTGCAGATTCAGTACTATGTACAATTTACTCTTACTTAGTACACTAAGGAGCTCTGGTATTTCTTCTGAGACGTGTTACTTGACTGAGGATTACGGAATCTTTCTGTCCGCTGGGCTGCAGAGGGATGCTGCAGTCCGGCTACACCACCAGGTTAAGACACTTCAACAACCTGTCTCAGTTCTTCAAACAGGGGCGTGAGCTCCTTCTCTAAACTTACAATCAGCCCTGGAAAGAGAGAAGAGACAGAACATCTCAATTATGTTGTTGGATGGGGGAAGCCTCTCTCCCCTTCAGAGTCACAGGCAGTGTTTTCCAAGTCACGAAACGCTGCACTTGACCTGCTCACTCCTCACGGGAAGAGCAGGCAGCAGACCCCGGCACCAACAGGCAGCACTCCTCCATGCTGCTGCTTGCCTCCACTATCACCTTGCTGCTTCCCACTGCTACTGGGGCCCAAGCAGCTGTCCAAGAATTAAATACCTTCTGCCCAAACCCTTGTTAGCCAGTGCCCTCACGAGCCAGGCGCCTTGCTGAGGGATTCCCTCACCCCACAGAAGCGAGGAGACAAAGCTGCACCCCTTACTGCGGAGGGTACCTTGGAACTGATGGAAAGAGACTGAACAACTGCTTTGTGTGGTTCAAGCACTGCCGGTGCAGTGAATACTCTCATATAGCAAGGGCAAGGTTAATCATGCTCCTAACAGAAGAACAGCTTCAGCAAGTCACCCAAAATCTGTAATTTTACTTTCCCTTCACCATACACTGACAAAGTACCTAGCAGGAGCAAAGCTAACATACCTTGAAGTAAATTCAGGTACTTTATTTTCAATTATTCAACATAATGTGGGGAATTATTCAGTAGTTCAACACCTGGACCTTAAAATACCACAATATTTAAAATACCCGTGAAGACATACCAGTATTGGCATTGCTGCTGGCAATGAAACTGACTACCAAGGGTAAGCGATTGAACTGCACCACCTGCAAGGAGAGAGAACAGCCTTCAGCCAGGAGCTCGCACATGTCGGGTGTCAGAGCTCTCCTCGCTTTAAAGGGCAAGCAAGAGCCACAGGACTGACTTTTCAGCATATCTGTTCCCTAAGACGCACAGTGAAAAACACCACCAGAATTCACATCACAGTACAAGCAGCTGCATGTGGAAAGCCTGGCTTTTCCCTCCCTCCCATGTTCTGCAGCATTATCCACCTGAAATCTAACTCGGCTGCAAGCCCTGTGGGGTGCGCTGCAGAGACCACGCACTTCCACAGGAACCGCGGGGGCAGGCAGGTTTGTTGTTTTAAAATACTACTCGGTGTAGAGCAGTACCTCTTTTTCCATTAATAGGGAACTGGAATCTTGAGCACAAGAATAAGCTAGCAGCGTGAAGAGAATCAAAGCAATGTACTCAGTGTGTGTAAACCAACTCATTCACCCATTTATTCTCCAAGCAAAGCTAGATATTGTAGGCTGAACAGCTGGCCAGTCTACTGCAGCCATAATAAAAAGCTCTCCAGACAATTAGAACTTCAGAATGAGCAGAAACTTAGTAGATGATGGATTTCAGGACACAAATAACCAGTTTGTGTAAAAAAACCAAACAAGCAAACAAAAAAACAAAAAAACCCACGCAAGTGGTATTTCAAAGCTTTTTCACCTCCAAGTCATACTGGCAGCAAGATCAGCAATGAAATAGGCTGCATGTGCTTATTAATCTTTAGGTGTCACCAATTTAAACAAGTACTGATTGTAAAAAAGAACATAAACCCTACGTAACAGGCCATATAAGCAGCATCTGCTGCAAATCCCCGATTATTACCTGCAGAAAAATTGCGTTTTCAACAAGTAAATCTGTTTTGAGAGCTTTAAGAGAAGCTTAACAAACAGTGCAAGAGTTTAGCATGGCCAAGTCAGTAGAGTGAGAAGTAAAATGCAAATACTTCAATAGCAGCCAAGTGGAAACCTGGAAGAGTTTAAACTACCTCTCCCTTGCTCAGGAAGCGCCCAGGTCAGCGAGACAGGCCACGCTGAGGTGACTCACCTGGTATGTATTGTAATAGCAGATGATGCTTTTGTTTTTAGAAAGCCCCAGTTTACTGCCCTGGTCTGTGGCAAGGGCAAAAGTGGACAGAAAGCCAGGTCGCAGCGCATGTTCTGGAGCATTATCATTGGCAACTGGAACAAAAGAAGAAAATCCTTGGTTTTACGTGGTATCCGTGACTGCATCGCAACTCCAGCTCAGCGCTCTGCCACAGGCAGCTCTGGTGTCGGGGAACACAACATGCTTCCACAAGTACAGGACAATGTTCTGGAGCAGTACGTCGTTCAATATTCTGCAAGTGACTGACGCTCGTTATACCAGCGTCCTCCCTACCGCGCCTGAGAAAGTCTTTCCCTTTACGAGGCGCAGCCTGCGCTGATGTCACTCAGGTTGTGCATCCCCCACTGTCCATACCAGTCCCAGCCTGCGAACTGGCCACTGGCACAGTCACTCCAACGAAAGTGAGTGAAGATGTGCAAGTTCCCCGGGGCGTTCCAAAGCCTGCAGTGCTTGAATCAGCACTCAAACCAGTTTACCCACAACCACCTTAAACAAAGGCTGCAGGGACGTGATCAAAATGCAAACAAGAATGAAGTAACGTGTGTAACAGCCGGGCACAATCGCTCCTGAGCGCAGACCAGCCAAATACAGGTAAGTACATGGTACCCGTCTGTGAGGGACCTGAAGATACAAGCACCTTACACCGCTCCAACCCTATTCCCTGAGGCAAGCTTCTGTGGCCTACGCTTACCGGGGGCATTGCATACGCACCCACAAGAAAAATTTTGGGAGGTACATAACTAATTATTGAACTTGCAGTAAGAGTCTAATTTAATTTACTGATTTTGGCTATTCTGGTATGGGGCATAACCAGCGACAGCTCGGCTGCACTCTCCACTCCCTGTTGATGCGCTGGGATCTCGGCTGCAGCCCACAGCCAGCAGCTGAAGTTACCTTTGATAACCGGCACACCATCCCTGTCCGAGACCACAATAGCATGAAGGCCTTCAACACTGAAACGAAAGTGAAAGAGAGGAACCCTTTGAAAACCAGGATAATTAGCAGCAAAGATCTTTTTTGCCTGAAAAAAATCTGCAATGAAGGGGAAAATATGGAAAGCAACTGATGCCTTCACTAATTCAGTATTCACTGAAAGGGATTTGCTCTGTTGAGTACAATTGGTGCCTTAGAGTAGTAAAAAGCAAGAGGCGAAACAGAAATCGCGCGGAACTCTGAGCTTCCGAGAGGGCTGACGCCACTAATCCAGTTTCGTTACGGAGCAAGAGCCTCGGGACGTTGTGCGAGCGCCAGTCCCGCCGCGCGTGCCCACAACCTCAGCCCGCAGCTGTTCCGCCAAGCCAGCGACTGGCAGTCATCGAGGAGGGAACTATCGGGGATTGGGCAACCAAGTCACGAGGAACGTTTTATCGTGATGAGGAGTGGAGAAACGCGCTTCACCTCTTTCCAGACGAGGGGAAGGTTTAGCTGTCTCCACCCCAGGCCAGGTCCGGGTCGTTTACCCAAGAGGAGGGGCGCGCCGAGGCAGCCGCCCCGCTCCAGCGGCCAAGGGGC